GACGCGTCGACTATTAAATCAGTCGTCGACGATTTTGATAGTCGACGTAATCATGACTAGTCGACTAATTGTGGCAGCCCTATACCACACAAATGATGCACCGGCACTGTAGACAGATCGATATTTAACTTTCAATTGCGTAACTTCATGCTGCGATACATCATAAACTGTTTTGATCACACAGAGCAGCTCAAACTGAATTAAAAAACAAATAAACAACCAAATAAATACTACTCTCAATGCCAATCTCTGTGCAAATAAGACCAAATAGGACCAATACGATCAAGTAAAAATGACACATTTTCTGACTCATCTGTGATGAAACACATTTCACATCTAGAACATGAAATATATCAAGCAGCACAAGGAAATGAAATGATGTCTGATATGGCTGAAAGGAAACATCAGAATGAGCTGGTTAATCATTTTTATATGACAAGACAGCACGCGATAAATAAACTCCAATGAATCATTTATTACCACACAAAAGCCAGCTATTCATGGTGTTGCAGCTTCTCGGAAAGTAATCATGTTTTATCATTTAGCGACATTGTAAATCTATCAATGTGATTGTTGTGGTGGGGAAATTTATACTGAAGAGACATTTCCTTACTGTCAGTTTCACTACTCCCAAGAAATTTGTAAAACAAAAAGCATGGGTAGATTGGATTATTGTTCATTTCCCATTCGCAGCTGATCTACAACTACAGTTCATGTGGAGTTACAGTGACATAATGACCAAAAAAGTAATTACAAAAGATTGAATAACTCAGTGTAATATGACTAGACGATGGAAAGAGTTTTCCATGTAAGTCGCTCCTGTATTTTGTTTGCATGTACATGGGCATTTGTATATAGAATATAGATCTACTTAAATATCTATATGTGTGTGCTTCACTTTCATTCACTTGTCTGTGAGTGAAAGAACGAGAGACAGAGTGTTTGTGTGTGAGTGTTAGTGTATTTTGGCCTTGTTGTCACCTTTCAAAGAGAGGCCTTTGCCAGAATCCTAAGAGGCGCATACACACAGATGAACACCAAAGCAGAGAGAGACTGATAACACAAAGCGCGAGGGCTTATTTCTTGGGACTTGTGCCATGTGCTTCACCTTGCTGAGTGTCCACTTTAACCTAACCCTCAGCTCTAACTGTCGGTGAGGACACTATGTTTCATCTTGCTTCCTGTCAATGCTAGAAAACAAAACATGCCAACAGCTCTTAGCGTCACTTGCGACGCTTTCGGTGCCAAACGAGGAAAAAGAAAGGCAAAGAAAAAAAAAATAAAAGCAGGCAACAAGCTCAGTCTCATTGCACAAAAACAATATGGTCTGCTGTGTCATGAATTTACGCACAGTTGTTTTGGAATATGGAGCAGATGAATTTTATTGGGCGCTGGTATTTGTTCTGAAACATAGCTTAGTATGCACTTTGATTCGAGCGCGAGATGTTTGTCAGAGGCATTTCTACGGGGGGAAAAAAAGCACTTGTTCACAGCTGTTTCACATGGGCTCATGCTATTTCACACTCAGAAATACCAATCTCACACAGCTGAAAAGGTAATCACATCTGCAGGAAGTCTCTTATAAGTGCATACAATTTCTTATGCAGTCATGTAAGGCATGCTAAAGAGTTAAATGGTAATTCACATAAAGGGACTCTAGAAAAGCTCTTCAGTGACTTATTATTGTTGGAAGTCAGATACGCAGAGTGAGAGCGAGACGAAAGCCCTGCTGAGAGAGAGACTGTTGTCACACATGGATATATTCGAACAGCTGAAAGAGAATCTCCTTTTCCCCGTCATCTTCTTTCTCGTCCTCCTCAAAGCAAGCTATCTCTGCTAATGACCTGAGGTCCTTCCCTGATTTGGCCTCAGCTATCCAAAGGATTATGAATAATGCATTGACTCTAAAATTGCAAAAGTAATCCTCTGAAATCTCCTTATGTACCCTGGCAGACCATGTTGTCTGTTCCAATTGCCCTTCAGTTCTTCAACCTAAAATGCTGCATGTATGAGAAAAAAAAGCAAAACAAAACTCACCTTTAGCTACACTAACATGATTGATTATCGTGATCACAATGCGGTAGAAACGTGACTGTTAATGAAGAATGTTGATAGGTGTTTGGATCCATTTTTCAGTGCAATAGTAGGCCTGCAACACTGCTGACTCATGATTTATGCCCCAACGCGAAGCAGAGAGAAAGAGACGGCTTTGCTCAGATCGCCTTACATCCTTGTCAGCCTGCATCAACACAATAATTACTGAAGTGCATCTGTGGGATATTTACATATGAGAACACTGTCTGGCCACTCTCATTAATGGTTGAGTAACTATCGTGGCCTCCTACTCTTCAAACACGAATTTACTGAACGCAACATAAACAGTGAATGCTCTTTGATGCTATGGCTCGTGATTTTAGTAATGACTTCTAAAACACTGGAGTACTGCAAAGTAAATCCCCTGTTTTTATTATAAGATGGGATTTTGCTGTGCTCATCATTCACTGTGTATTATACTGTGTGCATCGTTACTGTGCAATGCATCCACTTTAAATGAGGAATTTCTACTCACTATTAGCATAAATTAAAGACAATGACATTGCACCAGCTTTGCATTAATAAGCACAATGTAAAGGGCGAGATGTCACCTCGCAGTCTTTCCCTTTGATAGTCCTTGAGGCTGTGCACAGGTTTTGCCTTTAGTTGGTCCACGCTGTAATAATGCTTTCTCAATAGTCCTCTTCTTCCAGCAACATTGTAGGCCGCTTTGGTGGAATATATAGTCTCGTCCTCAGTTTTTGAAAGACATCCCAGTCAGTTTTGAGAGCATCACAGTCATCCGGCTACACACACACGCACACCATCTCATTCCTGCTGTCGTCCAGCTATCTGTATCTATCCTGGCTGCAGGCTACACCTGTAAAAGTTTGCTTTATGACTTTATTGGCTTAAAATATTTATCACTGTGAAGCACTTTCTGTTATAGACGAATAGCGGGGGGTTTTAAAAAAGCTCCCATCCCTGTATCTCTGAGAGCACGGGCTGTGAAATGGATCCTTGGGAAGAGGAAGTTTGAAGAGGGTAACATGAAGAAGGTCTTTTTTTTTGGCAATCACATGCTCTACTGCCAGTGTGGGCTTCTTCTTGTATGAAGGAATGCCAAAGTCCATCTTTCCTTTTGACAGTTAAATCTATAGTGCATCTCCCTAATGAGTTCACTCATTAATAACTGGCTGGGATTTGGGCATATGTGTTTACTCAGGTAAACCTGATGATTAACTCAAGTGTCATGTACAAGAGAAGAAGTGAAAACGATGGTTAAATAGACAAGCTGCTTCTGTGCGGGGCGCCTTAAAGCCGTGCCATATCTACGTTTCCTGTGAATTCTGGTAGTCAAGGACTGACGTGTAGAAAATAGAGGGACAGAGAGAGAGGGGGGGGGGCTACGGCTGACACCAAATACAAGTGCAGCTCTGGATGTGATGCAGTACCCCAAGAGGCTCTGAGATCACACATGTCCTTAGTCATGATAAGGCTGAATCCACCTTTCATCAAATTCAGCCTTGAGGAGGACATCAATCGCCGCATATGAATTTCTTACATAGTTCGCATTACTTACAATAGGTGCTTTCTCGTAAATGATCATCATTCTGACAGGACAATATGCAATAGTCTTTACACTAGTCTATTAGTGAGCGCTCATCAATATTCCTCACTATCAAGCCCAGACAATTCCCAAGTACAGCAATCTCGATAATCAGCCTATGCCTCACTGGATAAATACTGCATGTCTGTCAGAGGCTGCAAAGATATGCATAATGATAAGTACATTAATCAAAGTCAAATTACATCACTATTCATCTTCATTATCAGATGTGGAGAAAAACCTTTGACGTGTTGTCCTGATTAGTCATAAAACCTTGAAATGCTTGGATGCAGAAATGCCCCCTCCCTAATTTATCCATATCTAATGCATGCAGGGATATACACATGCATGCAACACAAGGACTTTAACCAATTTCTATCAGAATACGTGCATGCCTTTGACATTTTGATTTAGTAACATTTTTAAAAGGCAGACTAAATGAAGCACCCACTTTCATCACAATACCTGTGAATGTGTGTGCAACTCAAAAAAAAAAAAAAGAAAGAAAAAAAGAAGAAGTAACTCTTACCTTGAGAAACAGATCAAAGGTGCAAAGGACAAGATAGCACAGATCCCCTGTAGATCCACTGCTCATCCATGTACTCAGTGGGTGCCAGGGTACTGTCCAGCCACTGGAGCAGCTCTCACAGGCTGCGGGAGTGCTGAGAGAGAGGCAGCCGGTGCAGTGACAGCTGGAGTAGTTGTGGCACATCCGGCAAAGATTCAGGTTATAGGGATAGAAGAGGGAAAGAAGCAGACAGACATTGCCTCAAAACCTGATCGGGTCCTCACTGACACCCCCCTCCTGGCTTTTACACCGATCTCTCCCCCTTTTCTCCCTCATACACCTCATTCAAGCATCACTGACACTCGTTTGCTCTTGTCCCTGCACTCACCGGGAACAGGCACTCACACACGCAGCGGAGATCTCCATCTCGCAGTGCTGCTGCTTCTGCTGCTGCTGCTGCTGCAATCCCTGTGCATTCGTGATTGAGTGTATGTGTGTATGTGTGCGTAAGAAAGGCAGGGAGAGGGTGGGCTGGTGGGTGGATGGGTGGGTGGATATGGCAAAGGGAAGAAGGGGGAGGAGTGAGGGGTAGTACGCAAGCTGCTGAGGAAAGTCCAGAGTTGGCGAGCTGCATCATCGGTGAAGACCCCCTCAACTTGTCCTCCACAGGCTGGCTCTCTTGACACGGAGCTGTTATATAATATGAAGGGCTTTTGCAGATGGCAGAGACGGGGAGCTGTGAAATAATAATGCATTGTGCTTTTAATTGGATGTCTCCTACCCCCCCATTACTTTCATACATCTGACACATTGTTTATGAAAGGTGGTGAGATGGGCTGAATCAAGCAAAGAAGTGGCTATGTAGCTTCACAAAGGGGCGATCGGGGAGGCGAAGAGCCAACAGGGCAGCGGTGTTAATGAGAATCCGAGACAACACAGAAAATGAAATGACGGGAGGGAGTAATAGAGAGGCACAGATAGAAAAATACCACACTGGAGAAAGAGAAATATTGATTTTCCAGACTTCTTAAAGTTTCTCACATTATTCTACTTTTTTTTTAAGTTAAGAGGATTAATAATATATTGTATCCTGTTTTCTAACAGAGAAAACATAAATATGAAAACAGATTAAATGTTGTTTCTGGAGAAAAAGGGTTTCTGCTTTAAAGGGGGAGGAAGTTACATCAAAGCTGTCCAAACTGATCAAAGCCAAAACACAAAAAATACTCTTCATGTATATATGATCCTATTATTATCATCTTGTTATGATTTATATACATGTTTTTTAGTTTTGTTTTTACCTCTTCCTGCTTCTTGCTTCATGCTTAAGTAAAGTCTCTTTTAACAGTCGCTGAAACCTGCAGACACTGTACCACTTTTTTCTTTCTTCTTCTTCTTCTTTTTAGCTTATTAGAATATAAGTAATAATATTTAGTTGTTGACTGGTATTCCAAAAAATGTTGTAAATAGAAGTTTTGCCAAAGTTAAGTGGTGAAATGCTGCAGGATACAGATAAAATTGTAAAAGATCTATAACACTTTTGCTGGTAAAGAATATCAAACATTTAAAAAGCAATGAAACGAAAATTCCATTGAGAGAAAACCTGAAGTGGCCTCTATTAGCCAAGCTTGTTCCATGTCTACGTTTACTGGATGCCAACAGTACTGTGCAAAAACTTTTAGGCTTATTTTCTGCATAATCAATTCTTATCTGTCAACAACAGATTCACAGAGGTGCTGGATTGTCCCAGTTTCATCCTGCAGTCCACGACAAAACACAAAGCAGAGACTAGACTTCAGTGACTAGAAGCATAAGGGCAACAAAGGCAATGTCCATGATCAAAAGCACCCACCCGCTGGCTCCAAAGCATCAAAAGTTGGCCTCAGAGAAATGACAACAGTCTATTCTCATTCCCAACAGGGCACAGACATATACTTGGTAAGAATCCAGTGGTGTCACAACTGCATGCTGTTACATATAACGGCTGGAACAACATAACAAAGACTTTAAGATGTCGCCTTCACCTCAATTTACCCCATATTTCAATATGATTGGGCAACTTTGGGCTGTGAAAAAGAAGCTGAATCTCGAGGGGCTCCACAGCTTCTAATACTGCTGATTTGCTGGTTAACATAAAATGATAAAACCCCAACTGAGAGTCAGTTTTGTCATAGACATATGCTTTGATTATTTCAGAGTTAAAGGTTGAAGTTGAGAAAGAGATGTCATAGGAGGTTCCTGACGCAGGACAAAGGTTTCATCATTCTTAGCTTATATAAGCAACTTGAATATGAAGAGAAGAAAGGCTTCTTCATATTATTTTTTCTTCTTAAAGGCTGACAGGGAGCAGCAGCCAGTGCAGTGATCTGCTGACTGCCGAATTATTGATTTAATTGTCTGTTTTCCTCCCAGCCCTGCTTGTTCATAGACCTATGATGAGCTTCTGACTGAGCCCACTGCATGCATGCCAATTCAACCTGCCATGAACCACAGCTCCCCCTCAGTCTCAACACCAGCTTAATCTCACTGTACTTAATGAGTGGAACAAGACAGAGTTGACAAGTACAAAAAAATCCCCCCCTCCACCGCTTGCCACAATCCTTCCTCCTCTACTACTCCGTTTATTGACATGCCAAAGGCTGTGAGAGGAGTGCCCAGATTTATGCAAAAAAGTGCTCGCTACTTGCTGATGACTGTCAGCTTAACCATTCATTAGGTTTGGATCCCAGAGGACAGCTTGAGCCTCTGGGCCACTGTACAGTAAATGCAAAGATTTTAAAGTGGCCATGCCCAATTTAAATCAAGGCTTGGAAAGGGAAAGCATATGAAATGGAAAACAGCAGAATTTACATAAAAGATTGAGGTGCAATGTTGAGGCTGAGACACAAACATTGCTCCGTTTCTTCCATTCGATTTCCTGGTCTCTGTCAAGCTCTCCAACATCTCAAAGGTGAGGGGAGTATGCACTGTCAAACGCTTCTCTCAGATCCACAGAAGATCCCTAGGTGAAATAGAAATGTTTGGATTAGCATATGAAACAGCCAAAGCAGTAAACATACATTTTTATCTTTTATCTAAATTATTCATAAGGATTTTCCTACTGTATGGAGAAAACTCATGGGGATCCGAACAAGTAAGATCACTAGAGATAGCTGGAAACATGAATAAACAAGGACTTTCTCACATCTTCTCAGCACCTGAGGAAAACAGTTTTTGGCACTGTTGGGAAGCTGAAGAGAACAGCACTTTTGCTTCAGACATAAAAATATTGAGCATGGTGATTATACCGATCATCTACAACATTAAAAAACACTGACAGGTGAGGTGAACAACATTTATTACATTCATGAAACTGCATTGGATGAGCACTAGAACTTAATGTTGGAAGCACTGGAAATGGGCAAGTGTCAAGCACCTATACAGTTAAACAAGAGTCCAGTTGTAATTGCTAGACTACTGTGTCAGAGCATCTCCCAAACAGCATGTCAGCTGGGGCTCATCAGGACTTATAGGACATGCTGATAAAGTTGTGCTTCCTGATATCGCAAGCCACCTTTTTGGTCTTGTGGAGTCCATTTTAATTTCAATTTTAATTTTTTAATTTACCATGAAAGTTTACGCAGACTCCCCTTATTAATGCATAGCAGCTTATCTACACCTGAGAGGAAGAAGTTGGATAAGCTCATCAGGAAGCCCAGCTCTGTGCTAGGATTCCCTCTCAACCCAGTGCAGGTTATAGGAGGTGGTAGAGGAACTTTGGCAAAAATCACATCACTCTTGGACAATGTCTCCCAACCCATGCATAAAGCTGTTGCAGAAGTGGAGTGCATCTTCCGTGACAGACTGCTGCATTCTAGAGTGTTATCGCAGGTCTTTCCTCCCAGCAGCCGTTAGACTTTATAACCATCACTGCTCCCAACAAACACAAAAAGTTGTTTACATCCCTGCTGTCATTTGCACAGTTTTTTACATTTTCTGTAAATAGTCTGTCATTGTTTATAAAGCACAAATATACACCACTTTTTGCACATTTAAAAAAGATTATCTTACTCAGTTGCACATTTCTTTGGATCCAAGTATGCTATTTTTCCTTTTTATTTTTGTGTGAATCTGCATGCTCCACGCACCTAAATTTCCCTAATAAGGGACATCAAAGGATATTTCTATTCTATTTCTGTTCATTTTCTATTCTAGTCATTCAGCTGCTGGTCAGTCTCCTTCTATAGCTCTTGTTAAACAAATAGCATGTCTTTGTGTTGACTCTGGCTCTTTTTTAGGAATCTTCCCACCAAACTGCCTCTCCACTTGTGTCCGATCAAACAACGTTGACAACACAGCACTATTAATCACTATTAATGTCACTGGAAAATTGGCTTTACTATCTGTAAAAAACTCCCACAGAGAAGCCAACGCTAATTCTGCTTAACTCATTTCCATTATCCAACACAGGCATGTAAACACACAACTAATCAATGTAATATAGAAATGTTACATAACCCATAATTTTTCCATTGGATAGATGATTACTGGGTACCTATTTTATATAGTCTATAAACGCACTGGCAGGTCATTGTGTTTTAAAGTGTTGCCATTATAATCTAGTGTTGAATGTAAACTCATACATTGTCAAAATATCGTCATACTGTGACTCTCACTCTCTCACGTCTTACTCTCTTTGTGTTTTTCAAGTTGCAACATGTCTCTTCCTTGTGGTTTGAAGAGTCATTTGAAAAGTTATCAGCGTAATTGGTTGTCTGTAGATTTATTTGCATATTCACTGTGTGCCCAGGTCTCCTGAGACCGCATTCAAACACACATAATCTGTCACTGGAGACTTAGACCAGCATGCTTTTGTTGGACCAACAATTGGAAGACACAGACAGCTCTCTTCAGCATCTTTTTTTTGGGGGGGGTTTTACAGTGTCCCTTTTAGTTTTAGGACAAATAGCAATTTGCAACTGATATCCTCAATGATGCAGTCAGCGCTGGAATAAGTGACTTTTATGTATACAGTAATAGCCATTACTTTCAAGCCTTTGCAAAACAAATTTACCCAATGCTGAATAACGCTACAATTGCTGGGAAAATGTTTCTATTGCTCTGCATTTTACATTACTGCTGGCAGATTGGTATGTATCAACCAGAAATGACTGTTTTGCCAGAGTTGACAAAAGGAGCAAGATTAGCAACATAGCAGTGATGTGTGGTGACTTTCACAGACCCCCCACCACCACTACTACCACCACCATCAACAAGACAACGGTAAGTATTCAGTTGTCATCTAAATGTTTTCCATTACTTGTCAATAATGAGTGTTTTTATAACCATTCATTTAAAGTAGAAGTAGAAGTAAAATACTAAATACTAAAATAAAGATGTACTGTTAGACAGGTTGTTTGTTAGAGATGAGAATCTGTGCTGGTGGAGGTTGCAACTGTTCAGCTTGTGCTAAAGGAGTAATCAAAACTTTAACTTCTCT